GTGTGTGTGTGTGTGTGTGTGTGTGTGTGTGTGTGTGTGTGTGTGTGTGTGTTTCCATGTCTTAGGGGAAAAACACAAGTAAAAAAAAAGATGTCTATGACTTGGTTCCTGTTATTTGTTTTAAAAGAGCTGTTCAGAAGTCTCAGATGGTTTGTGAAGGTCACATCTACATACAATATATTAAACACTGAGATATTTTAAAAAAATCTGAATTTCGGAAGAAGTTTTTAAAATATTTGTTTTTCTAATCAAATCCAGCKGGTGTATGGACAGGAGGAGCAACATCAGCAGCACATCTTCAAGTTTTTAATATATCCAGATTAGTGTTGCTGAGGCCTACGTTTTAAATTTTGCAACAATCAATAGTTTGATATTATTAACGTATTACACTGATCAACTAGTTGCTARCCGGTGGGGTAAACCAAATAAAACCACACATTTACACATTTAAAAGGACAACAGAAAGTGACAACTGCCATTGAGGGAAAAAAARGTTTGGTCTATCAATAAAGTCAACATAAAAACAACTACTTTGGGAACTTAAACCTTGCACAGTGCTCTGTATAGACATTCCAATTACTCTTAGCTCACAAACATTATAATCAATATGACCTATATTGATAACTTTTTCTGTAAGCATTTTGAAATGAAAATAAACAAAAGTCTGTTGTTTTTTTGTTGTTGTCTTTACAAAAGCTACACATATTCTACTGGGATATCTAAGCTTGTTAGTATTTTAATATTTATTTCTACCTTTGTCTTTTTTATTAAAAAAACTGAAGAGATGGAATCTACTTGTCTAGAAGACACTATAAGCCAAGAGTRGAGCTTATTTCTCAGGTTTTATCTTGGCTGGCAGCGATTCTGTCTTTATTTATTTATTTTTTTGTAGTGTCTACCTTAAACGAAAAGTGTCCTTTTTTTATTTGACACAGTTGCTAAAGTCTCTTTAAAACAAACGTGCCAGCTGATTGTGTTCAGGAGCCCGACCACTGGCTCCCCTACAGCCCTAAATGCTCCCGCTCTGTAGTCGTTCACTGCAACGCACCACAAYTCGCTACCGATGTAAACACAAAAA